TCCCACCACTATCCCTTTGAGGAGGTGTTTGTTTCTTGAGGGAGAACGGTGGCAAATGTTTTCATGAGGCAAAATCTCTAGCATGGTAGAAAGAGCGATGGATTGGAGGAGTCCTGAGGCCAGAGTCCAGTAACCACTAAGGAGCTGTGTGATCTTGGGCAAGCTTCCTCACCTGTGATATGAGAATTATGGGATCATAGGATTAGATTGCAAGCAGGGAGGAGTCTATCTTAGTTTATCTATTTCCACACCTTCATTTCTTTTGAAGAGGGTGATGGGAGGTTTTGTTTTTTATTTTTTAATTAACAAATCTATTTTCTCTCCCTCCCACCTCCAACTCCATTGCGAGGAAAAAAAGATAAAAGAAGAACAAATTCTTTGTAACAAACATACATAGTCGAGAAAAATAAATTCCTTGACTGGCCATGTTAAAAATATGTGTCTCATTCTGCATCCCAAATCCATTACCTCTGTCAGAAGGTGGACAGCATGCTCCATCATCAATCCTCTAGTCATTGCATTGATCACAGTCCTTACAGTTTTCAGGATTGTTCATTTTAAGTGTTGTTACTATTATACAAATTGTTCCACTCATTTCCCTCATTAGTTTATGTCTTCAAAATTATTTCTTTTCATGATTTTAATATTATAATATGAATTGTTCTTCTGGTTCTGCTCACCTCCCCCTGAATCAGCTCATATAAGTCTTTCTATGTCTCTTTGAAATCACCTATTTTCCTCATTTCTTACAGCACAAAAATATTCCAGCACATTTATATACAATTTATTCAGCCCTTCCTCAATTGATGAGCATCCTTTTAGTTTCCAGGGTTTTTTTAAACCACCATAAAGAGATGGTGTAAATATTTTTGCACATAAATGACCTTTTTCTCTTTCTCTAATCCTGGCAGCACTAGTTGGGTCCATCTTTTGTGTACAATTCCAAATTGCTTTCCAGAAAGGTGATACCAATTCACAGATCCACCAGCTGCATGTCAATGTGCCTTTTTCTTCACAGTTCCTCTAACATTGTCATTTTTGTTTTCTTTAATATTTACCAACTTGATGGGTATTAGGCGGAAATGAGGTGAAGTGATTTGCCCAAAATGGAAATCCCACATCTGAACCTAGATCCTCTAATTGCATATCAAGTGTTATTTCCATTTCGCCACTGTAAACTTGGCCTAGACGGTCTCTAAGTTCCCTTCTAAGCTCAAGTCTACTTAATAAAAATATTTAAAATATTAATCACGTTGGATGAAAACATTTTATCATCCCTAATACAGGAAACTGCTGGCATCTAAAAATAAAAAATACTATTATATTTAATAATGCTAAATCTGGACTGCAGAAACAGGGTATATGCAGGACTGCATAAGGGTTAAAATAAAAACTAGGAGAATGTTCATGTTTCTGTTGGAAGGTTGAGCTGCAAAGTCCACAGTGACCTTGTATACCAGGAAAGCTTCAGAATTCCTGGTTCATTTTCAAAGTTGCAACTCCTCTTAAAACTTCCTTTCTGTATTGTGTGACAAGCTAATAGCTCAGAAATTATATTTTAAAAGTCTGCAAGATTTTTCAGTCTCAGGAGCAAATTGCTTAAAAGTATACTAGAGGCACTAGCTAACTTGAAAATGAGTGAACTGAAAGGGGAATCAGGTTCAATCACAGCTCCGCCACTTCCAACCTGTGGGACATTGGACAAGTCACCCCATCTCTCTGAGGCTGTTTCTTCAGCTGTAAAATGAGGAATTAGAAAAGATGATCTCTAAGGTCCCTTCCAGGTCTAAGTCTGTGACCTGATGATTCTAAGTGTCTCATGAAAAATATCTTATCTTCTAGGATTTCAGTAAGCTCAGCTAACATGATGCCTTCCTACCAAGATGACAATGCCATCATCAAAAGGGCTAGGATGCTTTTTCAATTTCAAAGGATTTTGCACTTAACTATCCTCACATTACCCCCTCCTAACCAAGGATAGGTCTGAGCAAAACAGTTGGCTAGTGGGAAGGACACTCTCTTCACCATGAAACAGAGCAAAGCTCATGAGTGCTTCAAATGATTAAAGTGAAGCTTTGGCTTCATTTCACGAAGTATGGTAAGGTCATGGAATTACTCCTTCCCTACTAAGGCCAGGTCCTTAGGTCTCATAGCCCATCTATTGACCCCAAATTAAGTTGTGAATGCATGCTAATAAAAATTAAAGTATATATTTACTTTTTCATTTCTTGGCTTAAACATTAGAAAACAATTTCATTCAGTAAATAAGATGAAGACTTCATATATGGTAATTTCAAATATATTGGAGAGAATCATGAAAGATGTTTAAGTTTCTATGCTGCTCAACTATTTTATTTTATTTGCTTTTTGGTAAGGCAATCAGGGTTAAGTGACTTGCCCAAGGTCACACAACTAGTAAGTGTCAAGTGTCTGAGGTCAGATTTGAACTCAGGTCCTCCTGATTCCAAGGGCGTAGCTCTACCCACTGCGCCACCTAGCTGCCCCTCAACAATTTTAAAATACTTGATTCAATGCAATGAAAATGCCTGTAACTTAAAAGCAGTTCTAACTCAAAGTATAAGGCCTAAAAAGATTTTAACTAAAAAGTATTTAATGTCCTTTAAATTTAATATATCTATCATGAGTCTTTAAAATTATGGTTGAATTTTTGTTGCTAATAACACAGTACCAGCAAAAACAGAGTAGGACAAAGGACATTTGCCAGGTTCTTGAAATAAGTGGTCACCTGCCCTTCAAAGTGACTTTGGGTATCAAAGTGAACTATAGCACTGGCTAATCTCTCCCTAAAACACTACCACCACACTCCATTAATCATTTAATCAGTTCAAAGCAGAGAGCTGGAAGTTCCTTTGGACAGGGAATAGGATAGAAAGGAGCTGAAAAAGTTAAATTTGTCAGTTTTCAACAGCGTAAGGAATTTGGAAGAGGGAAAATGAAAAAGGCAAGGGCAAAGAGTTAAAGTTGACAGAATGGATCTTTAGGATCAGAAGACATAGAAAAGACAGTGAAAGAGGAAAAAAGCTGGAAGTTCCATACCTTTGGCTCAGATATTACACTATGGGGTATACACCCCAAAGAGTCAAAGACAGAAAATTCCCATATACACACAAGCATTATTCATAGCAGAATTTTTTGTTGCAGCTTTTTAGAAACAATGTAGGTGCGCACTGACTAATGGATAAACAAGTTGTGTCACGTGAATGTTATGGAATATTACTATACATTAAGAAGCAATGAATCTAAAGAATTCAGAGAAGTACAGGAGGACTTACATGAACCAATTTATAAGTAAACAGTCAGTGAAACACTACACACAATGACAACAGACACAACAACACAACAAACTCTGTATAATCGATTAGAATGACCAAGGTAGGCCCCAGATATAGAAACTGCACCTCCTTCCCTCCTTCCCAGAGGTGAGGAATGATGGATGGAGGTATAACATCTTTTATACCATTAGATACAGTTGATGTTTTGGTTAGTTTTATAGAACTAATCTTTCCCCCTTCCTTTTATATTCTGTTACAAGGAATGGCTTCCTGAGTAGAGAAAAGAGTAAAGGTGTATTTAGAAACTAGGGTGACATAATAATAGCTAGCATTTATATAGCACTCTAGCATTTTACACATACTATCTAATTTGACTCTCACAATAAGCCTAAAGATTATTTTCTTTATTTTACAGATGAAGAAACTGACTTGATCAGGTTAAATGATTTGACCAGGGTCAACAGCTAATAAGTGTCTGAGGCAAAATTCTAATTCAGGCTTTTCTGATTTCCCACTGTCACCTAGTTAGCTCAATGTAAAAACAAAAAGTTTCAAAGAAATATTTCTTTTAAAGAAAAAGAGAGAGGCAACGCAAAATAAGGAGTAAACAGCCCTAAATAGAAATTTAAAATATTACCGATTTTGAAGCTAGAAAATATACTCTGAAATAAACGTCAGATTCATTATAACATATCAAAAAAAAACCCTTTAAGGGTTCCAGAGAATAGCCACTGTGGTCAATGTAGTTTTAGCAACTAATTCTCTGAGGATAACTGTGTTACGCATGTTTACTGAAGGTTTAGACCGTCCAAGTATATCCTGTCGGCCCTTCAACCCCCACCACAAAATTTGGATTTCTGGGGAACGTATTTTAAGATATGTTTAAGGCCTGACTACAAATCATTTGTTTTATTCAAACTGTGACTTGTCACTGACCAGCACATTTTTAAAGACCTGATAACATCTAGTTATAATAACCATCCTTGTTTCTGGCATCCTATTGCTTCTCTTTTCCTTTCTATTCCTTATTTTCTATCCTATTTTTTAGAAGTTAACAAGAACATCATTCTCATGTAAATCCCAAAAACTTAACTCAATAAAATTACTCTGATACTGACTGTAAGTCCAGAAAAATTTGTCTTATTATAAAAAGTCTGATTTATCATCTCCAGAATCTAGCTGACAGTTTAAAAAATATGTAATGTAGAAAACGTCCTTGCTAAAAAGTCGCTTTACATAATAAATTCTGAACCATCTGCTACTTGCTCCATCCTATTTTATGACTGTCACTGTGCCCAAGGATAAAGTGTAATATAAATACACTTCTATTCAGCTACCTTATTTCAAATTTCAGATCTGAAAAATTAAGGAGTATGCCCATTTTTCATATTGCTACTAAAACACCAAGCTGGAATAGAACTATATTTTAAAGAGTTCTTTCTACTAACCTTGAGCACTGCCACTGGTTTTCAATCATCTCTCTTTCCTATTTACCCATGTCCTTGACCAATACTTCAAAAATTAATTTTAAAATCATAATAGGCATCATGCTATTAGAAAGAAAAAGGACAAGAGCCCCCTCCCCCAAGCCTCCTACTTGCCCCAAAGCTCTCCTTATTCCAGCTGTGAAACATAACTTAAAACAAACCAGGATAAAGATGACTGAGCTGCTTAAAGGTAAAATTAGAAAACAGAACAGGAAAAGACTATGTGTTAAAATAATTTATTTCCCCTCTGTACATTTCTGACCCACATGAACCAGAAATAAATCAAGAAGATGAGCGTTAGAGTATTTCACCCGTTTGAGAATTTCCATTCAATTGTGACAGCAAAAGTGTAAATCAGTCACTGAAATGTTTAAAAAAAATATATTAAACAAAAATGTTTATACAAGATAAAAATACTCATCCACACTGCAAGAAATTGCAGATTCCACAGATGTGTTACATTTTAATAATTCCTTAGAACATTCTCAGTCCAGGTTTTGGTTTTGAATTCTAGCGATAATCAAAGAGTAAAACTGTCTGCTGAAGGCCTATCGGTTTTTACGTTTTTCTTTCTTGCTCCGGGCACTGGCTGCACTACTTAGAGAGGATGTGGAAGGGGCTCTCGCATGGCCTGTGGTCTTCAGGTGATCAAACAGCTTATTCCGAGAAGAAAATTCACTATGGCAGGTTGTACATCGGATAGGAACGTCACTCTAAAAGGAGAGAAAGAAGTGGAAATAAAAGCAGATATTACCACCTGGTAACATTTTCTGTATTTCGTGTTAAGACTAGTTCAAAGTGGATTAGTTTCTGACACACTCAGACTCAACTCAGATGATATTTCCGGAGGATGCAGGATGCATCCTTCTCCAACACATTTCAAAGCCCCACAGGCATGTAAAACTTACACCCACATAGGGAAGAGAAACATTTAAACCTCAGGAAAATTCAGAATAGTGCTGCTTGGATGATATTTTTTTTTAACCAAGGTCTTTAAGTTTTCAAGGTGATTTAAACCACAAGCCATGAAGAACAGCTGTCCTATCATAAGCACACACCACAAGTACTTCACATCCAGCTTGGTAAAGAGAAGCACGCCGTTGGTGCATGTTTAAACGCCAGGCCCCAGAGCACCGAGCCTATCCTAACAGTTAGCTAGCACCCAGTGAAGAAGGGCCCCTTTTCCCTCCTCTGCAACCTCAGGGTTACTCGGATAACATTTAGACTCACGGGGAAAATAAACACTGCCAGAACATCAATCTCTACACCAAGAAGATTTAACAGCTTCTACCTACCACTACTTGTTGTTCATCAGATGTTTTGGCAGATTTTTTCAAATCCTTGGCTTTCTTTCCTTTGGGTTTTGGAATACTGAAAAGAGAATTGAAATATTTAGTGTATTTGACTCAAACTGGGTACATTTTCATTGCTATCATAATTATCAAGGAATGTGAAGCATTTAAAAGGTTTTTAAAAGGTTGTTTAATTAAACCTCTAATCAATCACAAATGTCAGTAGATAAAAAATATATATATGCACATATATTTATATATAGCCATTTTAAAACAAAGGTAAGCTTTTTTGAGATTTACTCAGTGTTACATTACTGAGTAAACAAATAAAAATAGAAACTTAAAATCATTCAGAAAGCAAATCCCCAATATTTTCTAGGACTTTTTTTACTCACATTGGTCTCTGCAACTCTCGCCCTTCAAAAAGCCCTGTCCCTTTTGTCTGTCTCACCCATATTCAACTCTTGAACAAAAAATTACCTACCAATGCCCACTAGGTCCCGTCTATTGTACTTCCAACTCATGAACACTCCTTTAATTGAGTTACGCACTCTCTCTTCTGGAGTCATTTCATTGTTTCTTATCTTTAAATGCCCGGTATAATGTAAGCTTCCTGTGGGCAGGGCTTGATTTTCTTGCACCCCAGTGCCCAGCAGAGAGCCCAGCACAGAACAAGTGCTTAATAAATGCTTGCTGAATAAACTGAATTGCCTCATTTACCTAAGAAAATGGTCATAAAGATTTGAGAAGACTTTGATTTATGGAAACAACTCACTACTGTTTGATTCTACCTATGGCAAGATGTCAAGTCTACATTAGGATAGCAGTTTCAGCCCTTACATCATAGAAAGTGAATGGCAATGTAGGAAATGTTGAAAGGGACTGATTCGGAGTAAACTGGGAAGTCTTAAAGGCCTGATTCAGAGTGAAGTAAGCAGAAGCAGGAAAACAATTTATACAGTGACAACATTATAAAGAAAAACAACTATGACAGCCTTAAGAACTCCGATCAATACACTGACTAACCAAGATTACACAGCAGTGGTGTCAAACTCAAACAGAAACACAGACCACTAAACGGTACTTAAAGATCCCCAGGAGCTGGATGCTGACTTAGAATACCACATATTAATATTATCTACATTCTATTGAATTTAGTTATTTTGCTAAATATTTCCCAATCATGTTTTAATTTGGCTTAGTCCTCACTAGGTAGTGTTGCAGGCCATGTGTATGACATCTGTTTGCACAGGACTTGTGATGAAGCATGCTACCCACTTCCTGATAAAGTGGTGATAGACTTAGGCTACAAAATGAAATTTATAATCTTTGCACATAAGTCCATGCAAGAATGTTTTCCTTGACTATGAATATTTGGTTTGATGTTTTTTTTTCTTTTTCCCACGCGAGAAGGAAAAGTAGAAGATAAAATAGATTTTAGTTCATTGAAAAAATAAATTTAATTTTAGAAAACAAAGTGAATGGCAAAATATGATGAAAGAATTTTCATCTATAATATATAGTTACTAGACTTTGGATGTTACCTTTACTTAGCATGTAGTTTATTTTTAAAAGGAAAAGTATATAAACTCTTAAAGGTAATCCCTAAAATGTTAGTCTCCATAGACTTTAGATAAGAAACTTGTACTAATGGTACATAAGTTGCATATGACTCTTGAAGATGGTTATATATGTTGAATAGAATGACAACAGAAAGGCACATGGAGAGGTGGAGCAGGCTACAAACACATTACAAACAAGAAGTTATGCAAGAAAAGCTAAGTAAATGATATAAAAGTAACATAAGCCTGGGGAAAGATCTGTGATAAAGATCTAACCAAATACATACATATACATATATATATATGTATACACACACACACACACACACGTGTGTGTGTATGAAATTAATGCAAACATTTAATAGAATGCTATTCCCCAATAGAAAAGTGGCAAAAGGAAGTTTTCAAATGAAGCTATCAAAAGATTTCTCTAAATAATTATTAACAAGAGAAATGCAAATAAAAATAACCCTGAGGTAGTATCTCAAACCTTGATCAAATTGGTAAAGATGCGAATGACAAAAATTATAAATCTAGAAAAGGGCTATGGAAAAACAGGCACTGTTGGTGAATCTGTGAAACAGTCTAACTATTCAGGAAAATCTAGAATTACACCCAAAATGTCACTAAATTGTACATCTCTTTGTTCCAGCAATACCACTTATGGCTTTATGCTGCAAGGAAGTCACTAATAAAGGGAAACTTACCAAATATGCAAAAATATTTATAGTAGCACTTTCTGTAATAGTCAATCAATCAAAAAGAAACTTTGTTATGTGCCAGGCCAAAAAATACAACATAGGTACCCACTGATAGGTAGATGGCTGCACAAATTGTTGTATACAAAAGTAACGGAATATTAATGTACATAACAAATGAAAAATTCAGAGAAATTTGGAAAGATTTGTATGAAATATTGCAGAAATAAGGAGAAATAAGCAGAGAAATTTAGGAAGATTTGTATGAAATACTGCAGAAATAAAGAGAAAGGTAACATCCTAAGTGTAGTAACTATACATTATAGATGAAAATTCTTTCATCATATTTTGCATTCACTTTGTTTACATAATGACCACAAACTATAAAGCAGAAGGTTCATGAACTTGGATGAGAAAAATGTTACATCTCTATTTTCAATAACTTCTAACAGAAATTTTGCATTTCCTTCAAATTATTAAAAAACATTGAGAAAAAAAATCCATAGGTTTCACCAAACTGCCAAATCAGGTTCACAACCTATAAAAGATAAGAAACCCTGATATAATGGAAAACAACTTTGAAAGACTTCAGAAATCGATCAAAATGGATGAAGTACCTCCCTGTTCTCAGCAGAGAGTGCAGAGGTTCAGAATCAACCATACACATTTGTTACAAAGGATGAGAAGTCACTGAGAAGGGAGCAATGTCCAAAAAAAAAAAAAAAAAAGAAAAAGAAAGAAAAAAGTAGTTAGAGCACCAGCCCTGGAGTCAAGAGGACCCGAGTTCAAATCCAGCCTCAGACACATGATGATACTCACTAGCTGTGTGACCCTGGGCAAGTCACTTTACCCCAATTGCCTTGCCAAAAAAAAAGAAAGAAAGAAAGAAAAAAGGAAGCAACATTTTTTTTTTAAAGAAAAGAAATAATGGCAAGGGGATGGGGAATATTTGATTAGAAGAAAGAGACGCTAGTCGTATGGTGAGGACATGATAACCAACAGATAGCATACATAATGGCTGACATCCACATGATGTAAAGAAGATAAGAGAAGGCCCCCAGAGCACTGAATAGACTTCCTGTGAATAATTTACAGGAGGACATGGGCAAGAGTCACAGAGGATAGGCAGGGATGGCCAGGTTTCTATCTGCATCTTTGTCAGGATCCTCAAGCTCAGGTGGCATGCATTTTGAGTTCAAGACTATACTTGTCCAATTCAATATGTATGCCTAGCAACCCACTCCCATACACTCCCAATGAAGACAGGTGCTTAATAAAGGCTTTGTAGTTGAAATACAAAATATGTGACTAGATATCTTTTTCTAAAAATTAAGAAAAAGTTAAGACAACTACTATCCTTATGGGATGGTAAGTTTAAATTAAAAACAAAGCCTCAGAGTTTCTTTCTATATCTATGACTCTGTGGAAGCAAAAATAGTTATTTCAAACCAGTCCTGTTATAGACGTATTAGTTCAACCTTTTACTAAGCATCCACCAGGTACACAGCACAGCTGGGTGGCAGCAGTCCTCACCAGCGGTAAGGAAGAGGGCATAGTGACTTGGGCTACTGGTTATCAAACTGTAGGCTTAATGAACATATCAATCAAAAAAAAAAACAAAACCCAAGGCAAAATCTGAGTTACTACCGCTTATTTCAGTGTGGACAACAGAAATGGCATTTTAATCTGTACATTTTTCTGCTGTAATCCCTACTGATCCCTTCCTCTACCTGTGCATATGTTTCCCTGCCTGACAAGATTCTTAAGAGGATGAGGAAGCTTATTCTTATTTCCTGATGAAAAAGGGGCCTCAAACATTGGAGGAAGCACAAAACAATGAACAAATTTAGGAAAAAAACAAAGACCTTACTTTTTTTCTGCTCTTTTGGGATCTTCAGACTGCTCATCAGCTTCCGAAATAATGACCTTTTCCTGGGAACTGTCTTCCAATCCTTTGGTGTTGTTCTCACTTGTGTTGGTAGCTTCTTTTGATTCAACAATCACTTCATCTACAGGCTCATCTTTATTGAATTTGTCATCATATATCTATATAAAGAAGAATTCCATTTTAATGGAATTAGGATAAAGCAAAGATCTCAGCCACGTAAGAGTAACTTTCCAGTTATCTTCAAAACCTTCCTCATTCAGGACTGTCAGTCTTGCCTTCTCCCTGCTCTTTCTACCTAGGACCTTTAACCAGGTGCTAGTTAAAAGGGGGATGAATGAGTATTAGAGAATATCCACTGAAAAAGATATTTTGGAGACAGGTAGTCAATTGTCTGGGAGATTGAGTGTGTCCATAACTGAGGATATCACATTCTTACATAGGACTAGTTTGGGGCAAGTACAAATAAATTCCTTTCCATTCTATTCCATGCTCAAACTGGATGCCATATGATTTTACAAAATAACAAGAAATATGGTATTGTATAATATACAGCAAAAACACTATAGTATATAATAATATGTAATGATACATATTACTATCTATGTTACTACTATTATTATGCATCACCTATAAAGCTCTTATGTAAACACTTTAAAATTTCCAAAAAGAGAGGCAGGATAGTGAATAGAAAGCTGGCCATGGAAGGCCTGAATCCAAGTGATGCCTCTGACATATACAGGCTGTGTGACTCTCTGGGGAAATCATGTGACTCCTTCAGTGCTCCAGGCAACCCTCTTTTTTTTTTCTTTTTTTAAAGAAATGTATTTATTTTTAGTTTTCAACATTCATTTCCATAAGATTTTGAGTTCCAAATTTTCTCCCCATCTTTCCCTTCCCCCACTCCAAGACAGTGTGTAAATTGATATAGGCTCAATATATACATTCATATTAAACCTATTTTCACATTAGTCATGTTGTAAAGAAGAATTAGAACCAATGGGAGAAACTATGAGAAAGAGGAAACAAAACAAAAAGAGAGAAAGTAAACAAACAGTATGCTTCCATCTGCATTCAGACTCCACAGTTCCTTCTCTGGAT